CGGTTCTTTCCCCCGGGGGTCTCGGGTTCTTTTCCCTCCGGTTCTTTTCCCCTCCGGTTCCTTCCCCCGGGGGTCTCCGGTTTTTTTTCCCTCGGGGGTCCTCGGTTCCTTTCCCGTGGATCTTGGGTTTTTCCCCTCTTTCCGTCCCGCTCCGGTTCCTCCCCCCGGTTGTCTCCGCTCCCGTTCCCCTCCCGGTTCCCCTCCCGGTTCTCCTCTCCCCCTCCCCGCTGTCTCACCGAGGAACGGCGATCTCTCGGGGCAGAACGGCAGCGGCCTGGCGGGGTCGGGCGGGGCTGCCGGTACCGAACCGATCCGGCTCAGGTTGGCGTACACGTCGTGGGTCCGGGAATAATCCACGGCGGGCCCGGCGGAGCGGCCGAACAGCGCCGTGAGGTTCCGGAACCCTCCCAGCGAGAAATAGGCCACGAAGGCGAACTGGCACCCGACCAGCAGCGCCAGCGAGCACGGCCGCTCCAGCAGCCGCCGCAGCATCGCGGAGCCGGCCCGGTGTACCGGAGAGCCGGCCCGGTGTACCGGAGAGCCGCCCGGGTTAGCGGAGAGCCGCCCGGGTTAGCGGGGCAGCATGGCTGGGGCACCGGGCAGCATGGCGGGGCTGCAGGATAGAGGGGATGGTGGTTGGGGATGGACCGGACCCGCTCCGGTACCGGGAGAGGTTCGGGCCTCGCTCGGTTTCTACCGGTACCGGGAAGTGTCCGGCCCCGGCTCGGTCACCGCCCAGCCCTGGTTCAGCCACTCTCCCGGTATCGGGGATGGCCCGGTTCAGTCCCCGCCCGGTTCCGGTACTGCCTGACCCCGGTACCGTTCCTGCGGTCCCGCTCCCTCACCCCGGGCCCTCCCAGCCCCGCTCCAGCCCCACAGCCCCGGTTCCGGTCCTGCCCCCACCGACTCCGGTACCTGCCTGGGCCCGGCTGTGCCCTCCCCGGTACTGCCGGGCCCGTTCCCGGTGCGCTCCCGGTACCTGCCTGGGCCCAGCTCAGCCCCGCCCGGCCGCCGCCATCTTGGAGCGGGGGGCGCTGCGTGATGACGTCACGGGGAGGGGCCGCGGCCGGGCACCGGGCGGGAGGAGGGAGCACGGCGGGGTGGAGCGGGGGAACCGGGGGATCCCTGAGGGGCGCGGGGGGCGCCGGGGCCCGAAACAACCCGGGAGAGGGAGCCCTGAGGCGGAGAGGGCGCGATCCGCTCCGGTATCGCCGTGAGGGGGCGCGATCCGCTCCGGTATCGCCCTGAGGGGGCGTGGTCATAGCTGGCGTCGTCGCCGTGGTAACCGCGCGTGGCCACGCCCCCTCCCTGGTATTTTCCCCTCCTGTTGTGTGACGTCACGAGGAGGACTCGCTGTGATTGGCTGCGGGGCAGGAGGCGCGCGCGCGTTCGCTCCACGTGTGTCCCCACCAGCCACGTGTCCCTGTCCCCAGGGTGTCCGTGCGACCTCCGTGTCCCCTCCGGTCACTTGTGTCCCCTCTGTCCTTCTGGGCTCCGTCCAGCCCACGTGTCTCCTCATCCCGAGGGGTCCCTGCCACCCTCATGTCCCCCCCACGGCCACGTGTGTCCTCTTTCCCCCATGGGAGCCCCCTCAGCCCCGTGTCCCCCCTGTCCCCGTGGGTTCCCCTCAGAGAGGAAATCCCATTAAAGTCCCATTCTGGGGGCGTTTTTGGGGGACGGGGGTGCTGGTGCACCCTGGGTGAGGGGAATGTGTCCCATCACCCTCAGGGACAGCGCAGTGTCACCTTGCACGGGGAGGGGACCAAGACATGTTGAGCAGGGACAGGAACAGTGGCCTCAGTGGCGGTGGTGGCACCCCAGGGCATGTGAGGACACGGGAGGCGCGGATTTGGGATTACAGGGACATGGGGACGCAGCGTCCCCTCTGCCCGAAACAAAGATGGCTCCTCCCTCCGGCCTCACCCTCCCTTATCAAACATGGCGCCCTCCAGCTCTGCCCACACCCATCATGGCAGCGCTCCCATCTGCCCCCGCCTTTCCCAACCACGGCGTTCCCGCGCCAAGCACACGATGACAACACATCTGCTCGCACCCAACACGGGGACACTCCTTGTGTCTGCCATTCCCGGCCACACTGTGCTCCCTCCGCCTTTTCCAGCCTGCCTCGCCTCACAGCCCAATGGCGTCGTGCGCATGCGCAGTGCGCACAGGTGACGGCGGGAAACCTGCCCTTACCCAACATGGCGGCGCCCACAACTTCCGCCCTTTCCCTTGATGGCGCCCCCCGCGCATGCGCAGCGCCAAGGGCACCATGGCGGCGCTGCGGGCGCTGTGGCGGCTCCGCGGCCCCTCGGGGCTGAGGGCGGCGGGGACGCGGCTGGGCCTGGCCCCGGCTCGGTGAGACCGCGGGGGACACGGGGACATGGCGGGGNAGGCTGTGGGGCTGTCCCTCCGCTCACCCGCCGGCCCCGCAGGTCGCGGCAGTGGCAGCCCGACATGGAGTGGGCGCAGCAGTTCGCCGGGGCCATCATGTACCCCAGCAAGGCCACCGAGAAGTGGGTGCCGCCGCCCTGGAACGGTGAGGGCAGAGCGGGGACCCTCTTGGAGAAGGTGGGGAGGGGGCGTGGAGGGGCCCTGAGGGCTTTGGGGGATGCTCTGAGGGGTCTCAGGGATTTTGGGGGGGTCCTGAGGGGCCCTGAGGTTTTTGGGGGGCCCTGAGGAGGGAGGACAAGGCCTTTGAGGGGTGTCTTGAGGCCTTTGGGGGGGCCCTGAGGGGTCTCAGGGGTTTTTGGGGGAGCCCTGAGGTGTCTCAGGGTCTTTGGGGGGGCCCTGAGGGGTATCCTGAGGTGTTTGGGGGGTGCTCTAGGGATGCTTTGAGGCCTTTGGGGGACCCCTGAGTGGTCTCAGGGGTTTTTGGGGGAGCCCTGAGGGGTCCCGAGGACTTTGGGGGGGCCCTGAGGGTTCTCAGGGGTTTTTGGGGGGTTCTGCAGGGCCCCTGAGGACCCTGGGGGGGTCCTGGGGGGATGTTGGGTCACTCAGTTCAGTTTGAGGGTCCCACAAACCCTCAGTGGGTGCTGGGCACTCATTGAACACCAAGATTTGGGGGAGTTTTGGGGTCACTCAGAGCAGTTTTGGGCTTACTTGAGGCACTTTTGGGGTCACTCAGAGCACTCTGGACTCACTCAGCGCAGTTTTGTGGTCACTCAGAGCAGTTTTGGGGTCACTCAGAGCTCTTTGTGGTCACTCAG